GGTGCCATAGGTCGTTGCCTTTCACTCAGCCATGCCATTGGAGTTGATGGACTCACTTTATCTTCCAAGCCTTCCGCTGTTATCCATTCTAGATGGCCTTAAGCCATATTATTGTAATAAGTTCTCTTTTGAGACATTCGATGTAATAAGTGTGTGATTGCTACTCTATTATAAATCCTCGAGTACTGTGCGTGTTAGCATTACCGATCCAGGGATGACATTGATGCACAGAGATCAGACTGTTTGGGGTCTGGTCGCTACACATTGTCCCTTCTCTCTTTTTCTCTCATTTTATTTATTTATTTTTCTTTCTCTTTTTTTCTTTTCTCTTTTTTTTCCTTTTTTATTTGGTGGGCTTCTTTGGCCTCTTTTTTTATTTGGGCCTCTTTGGCCTCTTTTATTTTTATAAAGTCCGAAGTCTCATCCCGACTTGTGGGGGAATCATAGTCTCCATCATCCTTTCCTCACTTGGGACAATGCTCTAATAATGAAGATTGTCGCACGTTTATTTACTTACAACTCAAGAATTATAACTCAATACTTAGAACAAAATATGACTCTACATGAATGCCTCTGGCGGTGTACCGGGATATGCAATGAATCAAGAGTGACATGTATGAAAGAATTATGAAGGTGGCCTTGCCACAAATACGATGTCAACTACATGATTATGCAAAAAGCAATTCGACAATGATGGAGCGTGTCATAATAAACGGAACGATGGAAAGTTGCATGGCAATATATCTCGGAATGGCTATGGAAATGCCATAATAGGTAGGTATGGTGGCTGTTTTGAGGAAGGTATATGGTGTGTGTATGGTACTGGCGAAAGTTGCGCGGCACAAGAGAGGCTAGCATTGGTGGAAGGGTGAGATACGTATAATCCATGGACTCAACACTAGTCATAAAGAACTCATATACTTATTGCAAAAATCTACAAGTCATGGAAAAAAAGTACTACGCGCATGCTCCTAGGGGATAGATTGGTAGGAAAATACCATCGCTCATCCCCGACCGCCACTCATAAGGAAGACAATCAATAAATAAATTATGCTCCAACTTCATCACAAAGCGGTTCACCATAAGTGCATGCTATGGGAATCACAAACTTCAACACAAGTATTCCTCAACTTCATAATTACTCCACTAGCATGACTCTAATATCACCATCCTCATATCTCAAAACAATTATCAAGCATCAAATTGGTGATAGCATCCAATTCACTTTCTATGATAGTTTTTATTATACCCAACTTGGATGCCCATCAATATAGGACCAAATTTATAATGATAGCAAATACCATGCTGTTCTAAAAGACTCTCAAAATGATATAAGTGAAGCATGAGAGATCAACAATTTCTACAAAATTAAACCACCGTCGTGCTCTAAAAGATATAAGTGAAGCACTAGAGCAAAAATTATCTAGGTCAAAAGATATAAGTGAAGCACATAGAGTATTCTAGTAAATTCCAAATCAAGTGTGTCTCTCCCAAAAGGTGTGTACAGAAAGGATGATTGTGGTAAAATAAAAATCGAAGACTCATATCATACAAGATGCTCCAAGCAAAACACATATCATGTGGTGAATAAAAATATAGCTCCAAGTAAAGTTACCGATAGACGAAGACGAAAGAGGGGATGCCTTCAGGGGCATCCACAAGCTTAGGCTTTTGGTTGTCCTTGAATATCTTGGGGTGCCATGGGCATCCCCAAGCTTGGGCTCTTGCCACTCCTTATTCCATAGTCCATCAAATCTTTACCCAAAACTTGAAAACTTCACAACACAAAACTCAACAGGAAATCTCATAAGCTCCGTTAGTGCAAGAAAGAAAAACCACCGCATAAGGTACTCTAATGAAATCATTCTTTATTTATATTGGTGTTAAACCTACTGTATTCCAACTTCTCTATGGTTCATACCCTCCGATACTAGCCATAGATGCATCAAAATAAGCAAACAACACACGAAAAACAGAATCTGTCAAAAATAGAACAGTCTGTAGCAATCTGTAACTTTAGAATACTTATAGACCTATAAAACTCCTACAAAAATAGGAAGTCCTGGGAAATTTGTCTATGGATCTACTGAAAAAAGAATCAAGGCAAAAGCACGTTTCTGTGATATACTAAAATTATTCTCGTGTGCGCAAAAGTTTCTGTTTTTCAGCAGAATCAAATTAACTATCACCGTAGGTTATCCTATAGGTTCTACTTGGCACAAACACTAAATAAAACATAAAACCACATCTAAACAGAAGCTAGATGAAATATTTATTACTAAAGAGAAGCAAAAAGGAAGGAACAAAAATGAAATTGGGTTGCCTCCAACAAGCGCTATCGTTTAACGCCCCTAGCTAGGCATAAAAGCGAGAACAGATCTAAGTATTGCCATCTTTGGTATTCAACTCATCAATAGAGCACTTATAACTTTTAGAAGTTTCTTTCTTTTTAGCAATGATTAAACTCCTAGGCAAGAAATGAAGAAATTCATTTGAAGCAAAAGGTTCCTTTATGATAGAGAGACAATTGGGGTGAACACTTATTGATTTGAGATCCGCATTTTCCTTACTAGAAGATTCACTCTTGTTTTTAGGAACATAAATAAATTTGGCAGTTTTGGTAGCAGGAGTTGGAGTATTTTGCATGGATGAAAAGGCTGACCCTAAGTTGGTAATAATATCCTCACGTTTACCGATTCTTGTAGAATCTAGATCTATTCTTTCGTTAACTATAGGTTCTTTCTCTTTAAAAAAATTCAAAGTAACTCCAACCCTAGATCCATATTGGGTAATTTGGTTATGGATCTTTTTATCCAAATTTTCAATCAACTCAACAGTGGCAACTTTATTTTCAATAATTTCAAGCCTTTGCATCACATGTTCTAGAGTTAAAATAGTCCCATTAACCAAGAGGGGAGGTGGACCAAACAAATCCAACATAGCATTATAAGCATCAAAGGTATGGCTATCCAAAAAATTCCCTCTGGTAATGGTATCAAGAATGCATCTATTCCAAGGAGTAATGCCTACATAAAAATTGCGAAGAAGAACGGAAGTAGAAAGCTTCCTGTAGATCTATTTTGAGCCTTGCAAATTCTATGCCAAGCATCTTTTAGATTTTCTCCATCCCTTTGCTTAAAGTTAAGAACTTCATGTTCGGGAGTAATAACGAGGATAGGAGGACTAGCCATAACGAAGAGCACACAAGAGACAAGCGAAAGAGAGGCGAACGGAAAAGAGAGGGCGAATAAAACGGCAAGGGTCAAGTGGGGGAGAGGAAAACGAGAGGCAAATGGCAAATAATGTAATGCGAGGGAGATGAGTTTGTGATGGGTACTTGGTATGTCTTGACTTGAGAGAAGACCTCCCCGGCAACAATGCCAGAAATCCTTCTTGCTACCTCTTGAGCATGCATTGGTTTTTCCCTTGAAGAGGAAAGGGTGACGTAGCAAAGTAGCGTAAGTATTTCCCTCAGTTTTTGAGAACCAAGGTATCAATCCAGTAGTAGGCTCCTCAAAAGTCCCTCGTACCTACACAAACAAACAAGAACCTCGCAACCAACACGATAAAGGGGTTGTCAATCCCTTCATGGTAACTTGCGAAGTGAGATCTGATAGAGATAATATGATAAGATAAATATTTTTGGTATTTTTATGATATAGATTGGAAAGTAAAGATGCAAATAAAAGTAGATGAGAAACTTATATGATAAAAGATAGACCCGGGGGCCATAGGTTTCACTAGTGGCTTCTCTCAAGATAGCATAAGTATTACGGTGGGTGAACAAATTACTGTCGAGCAATTGATATAAAAGTGCATAGTTATGAGATTATCTAGGCATGATCATGTATATAGGCATCACGTCCGCAACAAGTAGATCGAAACGATTCTGCATCTACTACTATTACTCCACACATCGACCAACTCCTGCCTGTATCTAGAGTATTAAGTTCATGAAGAACAGAGTAACGCATTAAGAAATATGACTTGATGTAGAGGGATAAACTCAAGCAATATGATATAAAGCCCATCTTTTTATCCTCGATGGCAACAATACAATACGTGCCTTGCCGCCCCTTCTGTCACTGGGAAAGGACACCACAAGATTGAACCCAAAGCTAAGCACTTCTCCCATTGCAAGAAAGATCAATCTACTAGGCCAAACCAAACTGATAATTCGAAGAGACTTGCAAAGATAACCAATCATACATAAAAGAATTCAAAGATTAAGTTATTTCTCATAGATAAACTTAATCATAAACCCACAATTCATTGGATCTCGACAAACACACCGCAAAAAGAGTTACATCAAATAGATCTCCAAGAAGATCGAGGAGAACATTCTATTGAGATTCATAGAGAGAGAAGAAACCATCTAGCTAATAACTATGGACCTCAAGGTCTGTGGTAAACTACTCACAACTCATCGGAGAGGCCTTGGAGATGATGTACAGGCCCTCCATGGTCGATTCCCCCTCCAGCGGAGCGCCGTCGAAGGCTCCATGATGGGATCTCACGGATACACAAGGTTGCGGTGGTGGAAATAGTTTTTCGTGGTGCTCTTGGATGTTTTCGAGGTACATGGATATATATAGGAGGAAGAAGTAGGTCGGTTGAGCCACAAGGGGCCCACGAGGGTGGGGAGCGCGCCCACCCCCTAGGGCGCGCCGAGCACCCTTGTGGTCGCCTCGTTTGCTGCTTGACATCCATTCCGAGTCTCCTGGATTGTGTTTGTTCGAAAAAGATCGCTCCCAAAGGTTTCATTCCGTTTGGACTCCGTTTGATATTCCTTTTCTTCTAAACACTGAAATAGGCAAAAAACAGCAATTCGGGTTGGGCCTCCGGTTAGTAGGTTAGTCCCAAAAATGATATAAAAGTGTAAAGTAAAGCCCATAAACATCCAAAACGGGTGATATAATAGCATGGAACAATCACAAATTATAGATACGTTGGAGACATATCACCGCGACCGGTCGATTGTGTTGCGGATCAGGTCTCACCGTTAGTGCTCGCGGAGTAATTCTTGGGGTGGACGCTCTTCTGGTCCCCAGGGCGCACCTTGTGGACCATCTCCATCTCCCAGCTCTTGAGAAGGTGCTGCACCTTCTCTTCCAGAGACCCCTCCGGCCATTCCTGTCGCACTCAGGGTTAACTATGTGAGCAAAGTAGGAAGAAACCTGGACGTGTGGACTGAAGAACTAGTGGACAGGTTTGTGATACCTTGGTCCTTTCTTCCTCGAAGAGCTTGTTCACCAGGTCATAGTTGGGAGGGGCTGAGGGAGTCCTGGATTAAGGGTTCCTCGGACGGCCGGACTATGTACATGGGTCGGACTGTTGGTCTATGAAGATACAAGACGAAGACTTCTTCCTGTGTCCGGACGGGACTCTACTTGGCATGGAAGGCAAGCTTGGCGATTCAGATATGTAGATCCCTTTCTCTGTAACTGACTTTGTACAACCCTAGCCCCCTCTGGTGTGTATATAAACCGGAGGGTTTAGACTTCTAGGGTTCAGCCATTATAATCATAATCCCATAGGCTAGACTTCTAGGGTTTAGCCATTACGATCTCGTGGTAGATCAACTCTTGTAATACTCATATTCATCAAGATCAATCAAGCAGGAAGTAGGGTATTACCTCCATAGAGAGGGCCCAAACCTGGGAAAACATCATGTCCCCCGTCTCCTGTTACCATCGACCTTAGACGCACAATTCGGGACCCCCTACCCGAGATCCGCCAGTTTCGACACCGACATTGGTGCTTTCATTGAGAATTCCGCTGCGTCGTCATCAAAAGGTTTGATGGCTCCTTCAATCATCCACAACAACACAGTCCAGGGGGAGATTTTCCTTCCCGGACAGATCTTTGTATTCAGCGGCTTCGCACTGCGGGCCAACTCGCTTGGCCATCTGGAGCAGATTGACAACTACGCCCCTGGCCATCAGGTCAGGTTTGGAAGCTTGAATTACTTTGCCGATATCCGCGGAGACTTGATCTTCGACGGATTCGAGCCCTTGCCAATCGCTCCCTGCCTCCTCAATGAACATGACCTAGATCTTTCATCAGGCCGCACCCAAGGGATAGCGCCTGTACCCCCTCTGGACCTAGATCCGGAGCAGACTTCATCGTCCGAGGACGAGAAGCTTAACCCCGCCGTGGAAGCCGCAGAATCAGCGGTGATAGAGCCACACACAGACCCAACCTCAAGTGGGCCCTGTGTCATCGGAGCCCCGGATACGTCTCCAGCCATGGGTTTCGAACCACATACATCCGCGCCTATCGGATCTGATTGGGTGCTGATCTTTGAGTTCAGCTCCGCGAACATCTTCCGGCACTCACCTTTTGGCGATGTACTAAACTCACTAAAAGCCCTCTCCTTATCAGGAGACTCGCAGCCGAACTATATCCGGCTTGAATTTGAAGCTGATGACGGAGAACTTCGCTTCCCACCCACCACCCACTACATAGCCACTGTCAAGGACTTAACCGACATGCTCGACTACGACTCTGAAGACATCAACGGTATGGACGACGATGCCGGAGAGGAGCAGGCGCAAAAACCACCGCCTATGGGGTGCTGGACAGCCACCTCCTTGTATGACGTATACATGGTGGATACACCCAAAGAGAACAACGGCGACAATGAAAATACAGTCGAGGATAAGCCTCCTGAGATACAGCCAAAGCGTCAGTGTCAGCAGAGCCGCTCTAAGCCACGCGGTGGCAAAAACAGCAATACCATCATAGGAGAAAACAATACTCCGTACGATGCCGAAGACAATGAAGAATCCATCGAGCCAACCTCCGGACAGGACGAACGGGAAGATGGGCAAGCCAGCTCTGATGAACAGGTCATGAATGAAGACGCGGAGGACAGTAACTACCTTCCGCTCTCCGAGGACGAGGTGAGCCTCAGCTACAAAGACTTTATCGTGCCTGAGCAGCCCGTCGAGCTGGAGCTTTTTAAGCACCAGCTAATAGCCACTGCAAGGAGCCTGAAAAAGAAACAGCAGTAGCTTCAAGCTGATCAAGATCTGCTCAATGATAGATGGACTGATGTCCTGGCAGTCGAGGAATACGGCCTTGAGTGCCCAACCAAGAGTTACCTGAAGCGCAGACTGTTACCACAGTTTGATGACGAGGCACTGGAGCCAGTCCTACCAGCGCATAATGCGGCTGACCGGCCACCACGCGGCCGGGACAAAGTGGCACCTCGAGCCGAACACCAGCCCGCACTACCTCACCATAAAAATAGAAATACAATAGCTCGGGGATGCACATATGACCTGCGGCATGACCTGGAGAACAAAGCAGGTCAGACCAGATCAATCTATGGATCGCGGGGGCGTGCCCTAATGCGCAACGATGGCCATCCGGCTGGATGTGACAAACATAACCACGTCCGGGCCAAAAACCGCAAACGAACTCCATCTGAGCTATGCCACGACTTGGCCCGATATAGAGGCGCTGCACACCCCCTTTGCTTCACTGATGAAGTAATGGAACGTGAATTCCCAGAAGGATTTAAACCCATGAACATCGAATCATATGATGGCACAACAGACCCCACGGTATGGATTGAGGATTTTCTTCTCCATATTCACATGGCTCGCGGTGATGATCTTCACGCCATCAAATACCTCCCGCTCAAACTCAAGGGACCAGCCAGGTACTGGTTGAACAGTGTGCCCAAAAACTCCATTGGCAGCTGGGAGGACTTGGAGGATGCCTTCCTCGACAACTTTCAAGGAACATATGTCCGACCTCCGGATGCCGATGACTTAAGTCACATAATTCCACAGCCCGGAGAGTCAGCCAGGAAATTATGGACTAGGTTCTTAACTAAAAAGAACCACATTGTCGACTGTCTGGATGCCAAAGCCCTAGCAGCCTTTAAGCATAGCATCCTGACGAATGGCTCGCTCGACACCTCGGCCAAGAAAAGCCGAAGTCCATGGCAGACCTCACGGCACTCATGACCCGCTTCTGTGCGGGCGAAGATAGTTGGCTAGCCCATAGAAGTAACAACACAAGCGAACCTGGCACTTCTAAAGCCATAAACAGCAACGGCAAGCGTCGACGCAATAGACACAAGCGTCGAAACAACGGTGACAACACCGAAGACACGGCGGTCAACGCCAGATTCCGTAGCCTTAAGTCTGGTCATTTGAAAAAGCCATACAATATAAACAATCCGGGCCCATCCAGTTTGGACCACATACTCGATCGTCCATGTCAAATCCATGGCACTCCTGATAAACCAGCCAATCACACCAACAGAGAGTGTTGGGTCTTCAAACAGGCCGGCAAATTAAATGCCGAGAACAAGGAGAAGGGGTCCCAAAGCAAGGACGATGATGAGGAGCCCCGACCACCGAACACAGGAGGACAGAAGAAGTTTCCTCCCCAAGTTAAAACGGTGAATATGATATACTCTACCCATATCCCCAAGAGGGAGCGCAAGCACACACTCAGGGACGTCTACGCGATAGAGCCAGTCGCCCCAAAGTTCAATCCATGGTCATCCTGCCCAATCACTTTTGATCGCAGTGATCATCCGACCAGTATCCGTCATGGCGGTTCAGCCGCACTGGTCCTTGACCCAATTATTGATGGGTTCCATCTGCCGCGAGTCCTCATGGACCGTGGCAGCAGCCTGAACCTACTTTATCAGGATACAGTGCGCAAAATGGGTATCGATCCCTCAAGGATCAAACCCACCAGAACCACCTTTAAAGGTGTCGTACCAGGTGTAGATGCCTGCTGTACGGGCTCAATCACACTGGAAGTGGTCTTCGGATCTCCGGATAATTTTTGAAGTGAAGAATTGATCTTCGACATAGTCCCATTCCGCAGTGGCTATCACGCACTGCTCGGACAAACCGCATTTGCTTGATTCAATGCGGTGCCACACAACGCCTATCTCAAGCTCAAGATGCTCGGACCACACGGTGTCATAACATTCAATGGAAACACGGAACGTTCCCTCCGTACCGAAGAGCACACCGCTGCCCTCACAGCAGAAGTACAGAGCGGCCTTTCCAGGCAGAACCTTAATTCAGCGGGCAAGCCCCCGGACACTGTCAAGCGAGTATGAAATACCCTGCAGTAGGACAACACAACTCGTCAAGAGCTTGACTACCAATTTAGCCTCCATCCCAGTCCCTACCAAGCGGTGATATTTGTGTCGCGCGTGCATAACTACGCACTTAAAATACCATGGGCATGGACGGAGGCACATCTAGATCATGGTCCATAATGCGGCTCAACAGCTCTTGGACCCGCATACCTTCATTTTTTCTTTTTCATTTTAGTTTTTTCTCTTCCCGAGGCCTTTCCTAGCAACCTGATCATCGGACCTATTGAGGGATGGATACACCAAGAAGGCAAGAAGCTTTGACGTACAAGGGAACCCCCAGGTGGTCTCTGCTAACGATCGTTATACCTGTTTTAAAAACCCGCACGCAGCTTGCCCTTGGTCGTGGCATGTCAAATAGCCCTATTTGCTTATCACATTTCTTGTGCAATATACGCTTTGACGTATTAATCAAACAACAATGGAAAATGGTTTACGGCCCAATTTCTGTGGCATTAGCCTATTACTTTATCTTCCTTCTTTCTTGATATTTTCATAAATTGCACCCGTACACTATGGTACGTCTTAATTTGCTAGGGGCTCCATTATGCTCCATAATACGGCAACAAAGTCCGAACACTTTTTCACAAGTACTGTTCGGCACCCCGAACTTATAGCATTATATGCATCGACTCCGAATCATGTCTTTGGTCAATAGTTGGGTTGCTCGACTCCTAAGCTTACTACCTTACGTTCCACTATATCGTCTAGGGTAGTAAAGAGAGAACTACTGTGATTGTGTCCTGGTTCGCCCAGATGAGCACCTCAGTAGAGAAAGCTGAAAATTGACTGTCATGATGAGGCGAGAGCCGGCCAGCTATTCGAGAGGTCACAAATCGTTCGCGATTTTTTCCACATTATGCGTTGAATCGATTTTTTATTCGATCAACATCCCAAGTTCGGACTTCCGAACACTAGGGGTTGTGCCTAAATTTTTGTT